TCAGTACGTGACTAACAAAGTAGACCGGGAGCTGACAGCCGTCTCTTTCAGCAAGGAGAACATCGCTTAACGCATGATCAGAGACGGCCAGGTACATGTAGAGTACTTCTTTGGGCAAAGGGCTGACCAGCCTCGGCAAGGAATGCAAGTGAACTTTCAATTTCTGGAAGGCCGCCTCAGCATCCGGCCCCCATTCAAACCTTGCCTTTTTCTTAATTGCCTGGAAAAAGTATAGGCATTTGTCGCCTGATCGGCTTAGAAATCTTCCCAAGGCCGCCAGACAACCTGTTAACTTCTGAACCTCTCGGATGGTACGAGGCGACTGCATGTCGATGACTGCCTGCACCTTCTCAGGATTCGCCTTTATTCCTCTCTGATTGATAAGGAATCCGAGAAATTTCCCAGACTCAACTCCAAAGAAACATTTCCTGAGATTGAGCATGACATGATGCCGCCTGAGTGTGGCGAAAGTTTCTCGGAGGTCCGACAGATGATCTTTCTGAAGTTTAGACTTGACAATCATATCATCAATATATGCCTCGACATTTCTCCCAATCTGGTCAAAGAACACAGTGTTTATCATTCGCTGGAAAGTGGTCGGGGCATTCTTAAGACCAAACGACATGACCGTGTAACAGTATAACCCCTGATCAGTGACGAAGGCCGTCTTCTCCTGATCTTTCTTCCATAAAGGAATTTGATGAAAACCAGAGTAGGCGCCCATAAAGCTCATCAAAGCATGGCCGGCTGTTGAGTCGACCAGGTTATCAATTTTAGGCAGAGGGTAACTGTCTTTGGGGCACGCCTTGTTTAAGTCTGTGTAGTCTACACACATTCGCCAGGTGCCATTCGGCTTTTTAACAAGCACCACATTTGCAACCCAGTCTGGGAAGTAACATTGTCGAATGAACCCTGCATCAAGTAATTTTTTAACTTCGGCGGCTGCCGCCTGACTTCTTTCTTCGCCATGGTTCCGCTTCTTCTGTCGTACCGGCTTCTTTTTCGGATCCACGGCCAGTTTATGTACCGCCAGATCAGGACTAATGCCTGGCATTTCATGGACTTCGAATGCAAAGATGTCCTTGTATTCTTTCAATAGTTTGTGAAAGTCGTCACCCAGGTCCCTTAGAGCAGTCGTCCCAACCTTGATTGCTCTGTCAGGACGCGAGTTATCTAAGATCAGGTCCGTATGCTCACCAGCCGGCTGAGGGCAAAATTCATCCGACCGCTCCTCTGCCAATGATTGCTATTTTCTGTCTTTTCTTGCGGCCCCTGTCTGGGATGCCTTTCTCTTCTTGCCGCCTGCTTCTTGAACAGGCGCACTCTCCTTGACATTGTCAAGGTCTATTTTTCCACCGCTCGACCCAGTGGCCATAATAGTGGGCTTGACATCCGAGAGATAGCACTCTCGGGCCATCCTCTGATCTCCCCTTAGGGACCCGACTGTTCCATTATCCCTCTCAAACTTGAGCAACATAAGAGATGAGATTATAACAGCCTTGGAATTATTCAGGGTTGGTCGTCCCAGAATCATGTTGTAGGCCGAGAGTTCTTCTACTACCAGGAACCGGACTACCATGTGTCGTCCTTCCCCTTTTTCACCCAGGCGGATGGGTAAATCCACTCGTCCCACTGGGTGGACGACTCCTCCTCCAAACCCTACTAAAGGGTGGGATGCCGGATGTATGCAATCAGTCTGATATTTTAGTTTCGACAGACATTTGCTACTGATGAGATCTGAGGAGCTTCCGGTATCTATGAGGATTCGGCCAACTCTCTGGTTGGCCACTTTACATTCAATAACGATAGGGTCGTCATGCGGCCCTCTTACCCCTCCTAGATCTTCTTCAGTGATGACAATCTCAGGAAATGAATATTTGGAGGGCCGTTCTTGGTGAACGGAATTTACATCTAACCGTCTGATATTGTCTTTGTTTCCCCTAATAGTGGGGCCGCCTCCTGAGAAGCCTCCTGCAATGGTGTAGACGACTGCATCATCTGTATCAGAGCTGTTGGCTTGTTGATTCTTTTTGGCCGACTGCTTTTTCGAGGAAGTGTTCCCCGTAGATTTCTTGACATAAGTGTCAAGATCACCTTGCTTAGCCAGGCGGTCCAGATACCGCATGAGACTGATGCATTCATTGGTGTGATGACCAACATCTTCATGATAATCACAGAATTTTTCTTGGTTCCGGTTGTTTGCAGAACCCTTCATGGGGACCGGCTTCTCAATTGAGATCCGTCCCTTGATTTCCTTTAGGATAAATTGGCTATCCTTGTTAAACGCATACTTTGGGGAGTATGGTTTGAATTCTTTTTTCTTCTTCTGGGCCGGCTGTTTAGAGGAATCAGCCGCCCAGACCTCTTTTATCTTCTCGTCTTTGTTTGACGACTGTTTCTGTCGTCCTTCTCTTTTTTCGGACCTTCTCCCGTCTGACTGTTTTACCGTACTACAAAGATCAGTCGCCTGTATATAGGCTTCCGCTTCAATCAAGGCCTCTTGAAGAGTCGCCACCCTCTTTCGGACCAAATCAAATTTGAAGGTCGACCCGTCTTTGAGACCTCTGAAAAAGTCAGTATAGGCTACTTCATCCGGTAACCCTTGAATCTGTATTCTCATCAGGTTAAACCGCCTGATGTAAGAACGAAGCCCCTCCTTCTCGCCCTGCTGAATTGTTCCTAAATCAGGGGTCGTCTTCTTCGCAGGGATGTTCATGGCGAAGTTGGAGGTGAATAAGTAAGCAAGCGTCTTGAAGTTATTTACACAACCAGTCGGCAGGTTGCCGAACCATTGTTGTGCGATTCCTTTGAGAGTCGCTGGGAAACACTTGCACCAAGTGGGATCATCCAACCCTTGAAGGTACATCAGGTTGGTGAATGCCATCAGATGGTCTTCTAGGTTAGTAGTGCCGTCATAGGCGCCTACTAATACATTTTTCACTTTGGCCGGCTGAGCGGCTTCAGTAATTTCCTTGGAGAAGGCCGACGGCTGTTCACCAAGTCTAAGAAACCGTAGCTGCCAGTCCATAGGTTGGACATTTTTTGCTGCATGTCCACCAAACGGAGGTGGCTGTAAAAAATACTGTTGTTGCGGTACAAACCGTAAGTTGGTACCGCCTGGTTGCTATGAAAGCCGGACTGACGGGAGGTGCCGCCTGACTGACTCTCATGATACGACTGAGTATGCCTCATCGAGGTATTTCGCAGACTGTCTTGGAAGTATGAAGTAGAGGCTGACTTTGACAATCGGTCACTCTTCTTCTGCTCTAGCAGTAGCCGAGCGTCTGTGTATGTTTTCCTCGACCCGTCCGCCTGAATATGACGAACAGGTTTCCTATTTCCTGGAGTAGGAAAACGGTATTTTGTGAAATCAAGGGCAGGTGGCTCCCACTTCCTAGATTTAGGATGAGGGGTCGCCTCTCGCCCTTGAACTGGCTTCCTCTTCCGTGAAGTGGAGGGTTTCTTAGCCGACTGCTCCTTGTCCAGAGCAGGCGGCTTCTTGTTGATCAACTCTTGAATTTCTCCCTTGAAGTCCCTCATGAAGGTCATGAGTTCGTCCCTTGTGATGGGAGCAGACCCATCAGTCGGCTGCTGCCGAACAGGCGGTGCGCCTGCTGGCTCGCTTCCAGTTTGAAGATGTTCCCGTTCCCTCCTTTCGGTATGACGGGTACGTCGGGCCGTTAGGGTCCCGTCTGAAGCTGTGTGAGCTTCAACTTCAAATTCATTCTCAGTATCGCGGTCCGACTGAACTAGAGGATCGTCCAGGGGACGTCTCTCTTCAGGAGCCGGTACAAACGTGGGTGCCATCTCAGAAGTACTCTCCCCACAGACGGCGCCAAAATGTTTCGGGGTTTTCTGATGTCCTGCGGGAGAGTTACAATTCTGAGACTGGAACCGGACGCCTGTACCTGCAAAACAACAGAGACTCCTGGTGGTGGGAGCTCCGCCTCCAACGGTCAAGTTAGTACTTGATTAAGGAGTAATTAATGCGGAAATTAAAGTGATTGGGTCTCTCTAGGTGAGAGTGTTTAATGTGTGTAATCTGCGTTGTTCGCGTAATCCCTCTTAATGAGGATTAAGGGAGGTATTTATAACCTCGGGAAACGTGCCAATCTAGGTTTAGGTTAACCTTGGGCTGATTGGGCTTCCCTCGGAAGTTGGGCCTAGGTGACCGGTTATCCCAGGTGTCATGGGAAGGACACGTGTCGTGTCGTAATTGGTCCAAAGTGGACGGATCATTGCTTGACACGTGGCAGACTCCTATTGGCCCATGTGACGGACACATGGCGGAACCTGATTGGTCCACTTGTCAGATGGTGATTGGTGGGGAAAAATCCCCTAATCAACTACTTTCTAAATTTCACTAATTTTACCGTTTTTTATCGCTAAGTTGTACAACATATTTTAATAAAATAGTAGTCCTTTTGCAATAAATATTATCATCAAATATATTAAGAATACTATAATAAGTTAATGATACAAGGTTAGTTTTATATGAGCAATTTAAAATTTTTATATAGATTTCACTATTTTAGGCTTTATATTTCGGATATCTTTTGGATATCGGGTATTTGAAATTTTGAAAATTAATATCCAAATCCGCATTTGATATCCACCTTTTCGGATCGGATATCCGATCCAAAATGAAAACTCGGATCGGATATCCAAAAATTCGGATCAGTTGCAGATCGGATTATTGGATTTTCGGATTCTCAGATAGTTTTGTACAGGCCTACGCATGACACATGTCACTTTTAAAATAACCGGTATTTGGGATTGAAGAAAAAGAAAACCCCCCAAAATTCGGATTATTCCAAAATATATGAAAGTTGGGATTATTCTCCCAAAATTGATGAAAGTTGGGATTAATTTTTCTAATTTTTCCTATAAAAATTTGGTCTTTTAAGAGTGATGAAATTCAAATTTTCTTAAAACTAATTACTACTTGGTATACAATAAGACTTTTCTCCATATCACTTTCTTTTTTTTTTTTTTTTTTTTTTTTTTTTTTTTTTTGAATTGAATTGAATAGGGCTCAGACAGTCGCACTCGCACACAATATTTGCAAGAGAAAGAAGTGCATTAATCTGAGAAGTGTCGCAATTACGAGTCTCACTACCATGTCTTCTCCATCAACTACACCCATCCGCCATTTTTGAATGGCCTCCAAAATCTCTCCTCTTCCCTCAAAACTTAAGCAATTTTCTCTCTCCACAACACAGTTCGTTTCACTCTTGGAAAGCTACACCAACACTCGATCCCTCTCTAAAATCAAGCAACTTCACGCTCACATCATCAGTACTGGTATACTTTCTCTCTCCTCTTTCAAACCCTTTACTCTTTGCTCTAATCTTGCTTCAAGTTATGCTCTTTGTGGTCATGTTGCATATGCATGTAAGCTGTTCGACGAATTGCGTCAACCAAAGTTGTTCTTGTATAATGCCGTTATTAGGGCGCATTCTCAAAGTGGTTCGCCATTTGAGGTTCTTAAGCTTTTTGTTGATGTATTGTCATCTGGGTATTTGTTTCCTGACAAATTTACATACCCTTTTGTTATTAAGGCTTGTGGAGACTTGTTGTTGCTTAAGACTGGTGTTGTGATTCATGGGAAAGTTATAACTGGTGGGTTTGGTTCAAATTTGTTTTTGTTGAATTCTTTATTGGCTATGTACATGAATTGTGGTGCGGTTGAGATGGCGAGGCGCGCTTTTTATGTGATGGGTGAGAGGGATATGGTGTCTTGGGCGACTATGATAAGTGGGCTTGTTAAGAATGGGTGTGCTAATGATGCTCTAGTGATCTTTGATGAAATGATTGGTGTTGGTGCAGAGCTTAATAGGTCTGCTGTGTTATCTGTGTTGTCTGCTTGTGGGGATTTAGATGATTTAACTTTTGGAAGAAAGGTTCATGGGATTGTTGAAGAGAGAGGACTACGAGATGATGTATGTGTATCTAATGCGTTGATTAATATGTATACAAGATGTGGTAGCATGAATGATGCTAGAGAAGTGTTTGACAGGATAAAGGAGAAAGATGTAGTGACATGGACCTCTTTGATGAAAGGGTATGTTATGAATGACAATGCTAGATATGCATTGAACCTTTGTAGGTTGATGCACCTCGAAAAAGTGGTGCCTAATTCAGTGACTATTGCTATGTTGCTTCAGGCTTCTGGAAGTTTGCAGGCAGTGAAACATGGCAGGTGCTTGCATGCTTGGGTAGTTAGGCGAAATCTTTTCCGTGATGCAATAATTGAAACCGCTTTGATTGACATGTATGTGAAATGCAATCATGTCTGTTATTGCTTTTTAATTTTTGATCAAAGTTCACAGAAGAGAGTAGCATCCTGGAACGCAATGATTTCTGCATATACATATAATGGTTTGGCGAGTAATGCAGTACACTGTTTTAAACAAATGTTGCATGAAGCAATACGTCCTGATGCTATTACTTTTAGTAGTCTCCTTTGTGGTTGTTCTGATTTAGCTGACAGACAACAAGCTTTTAGTGTTCACAGCTACATGTTAAAATCTGGATTTCTCTCAGAATACGAAGTTTTGAGGGGCCTGATTGATTTATATTCAAAATGTGGAAGCTTGAAGTATTCTCAGAAGATATTCAGTGAAGTTCCACTGGAGTGCAGAGATATTACTTTGTGGGGTGCACTAATGGCTGGATATGGAGCACATGGGCATGGTGAATATGCAGTTTTACTTTTTAAGCGCATGGTTCAATCTGGAGTTAAACCGAATGAGGTTACCTTCACCTGTGTTCTGGATGCGTGTAGCCATGCTGGTTTAGTAGATGAGGGTCTTGAGCTGTTCACATTGATGCTCAGAACATGCCAAATTAATCCCAGCATTCATCATTATACATGTATGATTGATCTTCTTGGTCGGGCTGGTCGTTTGCAAGTAGCATATGATTTGATCATAACAATGCCGTTTATGCCTAATCATGCTGTTTGGGGTTCTTTGCTGGGTGCTTGCATGGCACATCAAAATGTTGAACTTGGAGAGATTTCGGCAAAATTACTTTTTATTATGGAGCCAGAGAACATGGGTAATTATGTCTTGCTGGCAAACATATATGCTTCTGCAGGCAGATGGAAAGATGCAGAGAATATGCGTTCGATTATAGATAAAGTTGGATTAAGAAAGACGCCTGGTCATAGTTTGGTCGAGGTCAAAGTCAATTAGGTAACCTTGGAAAAAAATGAGGATAGGTAGGGAGCTCCTAGGGGTCCAGTGCAGTTCTTGTTTTTGAAGCTTGCTTTTGGTGTTTAGTTCTAAACCAGGCCATCTCTTAAGATCTGAAGCAATTCACGAATCATGGCATCTGATATTCTGATCCATGCTTGTATAACAGTTATCAGGTAATGAAAGCATATATTTTTAATGAATGGAAATCGCACTCTCTTTACACCTCCTTCCTCTTCATAATACATATGCTATACTACTTTGCAACTATTATCAGATTGTGGAGATGTTGTAGTCCTTGACTTTATTGTTTCAAAAAGTTGCAGGTGCAAATGGTTGGCGATTCATAGCTAATTCTGACGTCAAGTTCTGCTTTTCAAAGAAAGCCAGTAAAATAATAGGAAGACCATATTCCATTTTAAGCAGAGCCTAATGGAATTTATGAAGTATGATTTAATCGGAACAATGGATGTGACCGTGATATAAACTAGGTAACCTTAACCTTTTTGCAATGCTTCTTACTTTCATAGCTTGGATTCCAAATCATTTAGTTTCAGAGCATTTGTGTCACATAAGGGCGGTATTAGGCACTGTTGGTCTTTATTAGGGTTCTCAAGATGCGTGTTGTGCACGATTCTGGAATATTCTTCCTTTAGGGTTTAAATAAGGGTATTTTGGTAATTTCTGCATTTACTGAATGTGGGCCCACAAGGGGGTCCAAACATTAGCCCCACGGCAAATTCGTGAAGCCTGCTTTGCTGTTTGGGAGTTTGTCAGAAAATAATCTTTGCGTGAGTACAAGAATACACGTGAGTGCGAACAAATCGAATCCCGAGGTAGGGCATTAGTCGAGCTTGGGGATGGGCGAGCCTAGCCTAGCAGCCTAGGCTAGGCGATCTTGGTATGGGCGTGCTTCCTAGGTGAGCTAGCTACCTGCCAGCGAGCCTGCTAGGCGATAAAGTTAGGCCTAGACACTATGGGCTCGCGACATGCTAGGCGAAAATGTTAGGCCTAGTGTCACGGTCCGGGAGTTTGGACCCTGAAATGTGCGGCGCGCTCTAGCCTTTTGGTGGCAAGAACACTAGCCTTGAGCGGAAGGGGCTTGTGAGCACAAAGCAACACAAGCGGGCAATTAAATCCAAGGAGCATTCACGTCTATTTGGGCGACGGAGTGCGGGTGGTCGGGGCTTGTGGTGGCCGATACTTCAAGGCGGGCACAAGCGGGTCCGAACCACGAGTTCTTAATGCATCAAGTTGGTTTGGAGGGGAGCTATTATGCAAGTAAGACACAATATCTATAAAGGTCTAACAACAAACAAGCATAAAAGCAAAGCAACACTTAGTAGAAGGCTTAAGATTTCATTAATTATTCACCCTCTAAAGAGCTTTAATTTAATTACAAGGAGAATCCCTAGTGAACAGTGAAGTGACAGTAACACAATAATTGGAGCTCAAGCTAAGAAAATATAAACTAAACTCTAAGAAAGCATCTAAAGGGAATCTAATACATCAAAAGGAGTTGGATTCTAACACCTAGCCACCTAAAGGTTGTGGGCTGGCGACATGCTAGGCCCTAGGCGGTGATATCCAGCCCTGGCTGAACGAGCATGCCTCGCGCTATCTGGCGATGATATGCCGCGCGCCAGCATGCACTTTGGCGATGACGCGGTGCTCCTCCAGTAGCATTGGGCGATGATGTGTTGTGAGCCAACTCGAACCAGCCCGCGCCGGGAGATGAATTGCAACCTCTCGGCTCGAGCGACGATGTGAGTGGCTCCGGACCTTTTCATTGCATTTTAGCGTCCATTCGCCTCAATCGATGAAGTGTTTTTGGGACCTTTATGCCCTGTGGGCGATGAAATGTCATGGACACTTTCCTTCACCATCAAGCATGGTTCGAAAATGCAGTTTCGGTCGCGATCGCGGAAATGGTCGCGGTAGTTCGGTAACGAAACTGATGCGTTGATCGCAGAACGCGTTGCAGTTGTCACCCTAATTTATTTTATGTTAGTTTTTATAAGTTTTGTAATAAATTTTCTCATAATTTTCGAAAATCTTATTTTTTAATATATATCCCCATTTTATATCTTGTACAGTATTACAATAGTGCGGTGTACAAGTATACAATATACGTAGTAAACTTACTACTCCCTCCGTCCCAAATTAGTCGCAACGTTTTGACTTTTTGCACTATCACACATCTCATTTTTTTTACCATCTTTTTTAGCTATTATCTGAAAGCCAATGTAATCATATAATATGTTGTTGGGTCTATTTTAATGTATAGTTTGTCAATATAAATTTTTAATAGCTTATATAAGTATATAATAAAAGATATTAATGATCAAACATGTGCATCGGCAAGTGTGTCCAGTTAAAATGTTGCAAGTAACAGAGGGAGTACTTCATAAATGTAATAAAATAAAGTATAAAAGAGTACAATAGTTATTAGAAAAGGAAGTCGTGTGGGGGAGAAGGAAGAATAAAAGAGAGAAGAGGAAGAGTGATGGCTGGTGGAGTCAGGTCAGAAGTCAAAAAATAAAAAGAGGTAACATACAACTGTCACTATTCAGTCCACTCTCCAATTTTTGTTTTAAAGACAAAAAAGATGTGATAGTTTTCATTGACTTCCATGGAGAAACAGATTCCTCACCGGAAAACTTATACTTTGGGTTCTTTTTCCTTGGATTCTCTGTCAGGAACGCTTGATGCGGCCGATTTTCAATTCATAACGGCCGTGATGGCCGAAATTGCGTAGCGTTGAAATGCAGCGTGCTGAATCGGAAAAATTTGGTTCGGTAAAATTCAAATCCGTTACAAAACAGCCGATACGTAACGATGCGGCCGCATTTTTAAAACCCTGCCATCAAGAATGCTTAAAAAGGACCCATTTCATCTTTTTTGGTAGTGGTCTTGCCCGTTGCTTGGTAAATTTTGACAAAAATTCGGTGGTCATAACTTGGGCTTCGGGTGTCCGAATTGAGCAAACTTTTTTTTCTTTTCAAATTGTGTATTTTTTCGAGCTCTATGCAGCTGCAAATTCTCAGGGGTATTTGGTCCAACGAAATCGTGAAAAAGGCCTCTAGCATGGTGAACATGCCATTTTTCTGATCATGGTCTTGCTCTAAGACATAGAATTGGATGGTGTAGAGCACGATGATGCGCTCGGGTCATCCCTTGGGGATGGATGGGCGACAATATGTATGACACCCCTTGGGGCTAAGAGCCCCTTGGATGGACGGTGATATGTTTGACACTCCTTTGGACGATGATATGTATGATTCCCCTTTGGGCTAAGAGTCCCTTGGATGGACGATAATATGTATTGAACTTTTTGTGCACAATTACGTATATTGTACGTATTCTCTGAACTCTTTTTTGCATGATTGACAACTGTCTATGACACGCGTGGACCAAATCGATTGTACCAAATCGCGGTTTAAATTTTCGAAGCATACATTTCACTATATATAGCAAGTTTCTTATTCATTTTTCATTCACATTTACCTTGTCTGGGTTGTGAATACCTAACAAATCCAACTACACGTCAAAGTGGAAGCAACAAATGCTACTTTCATGACAGGCTCTCCTAAAGGGCTCCCCCTTGACAACTTACTAAAAGAAGGTGAATAAGAAGCCATTAACAAGAAAGAAAGCATAAGGAAACAAAGGCGTACCTTAAAAGATAGTGTCTTCCAATTAAATTAAAATAAGCACCTCTCTCTTTACAAAGACTTTCCTTGCTACAGATTTTGAGATTGAAATTGAGAGTGAGAAATGAATAAGGAACTGGCTATATTTAGAGAAATATATACTTCGAAAAGTGAACTGCAATTTGGTTCAATCGCTTTAGTCCACACACGTGTTACAGACACTTATCAATCATGTAGAAAAGAGTACGGAGAATACGTACAATTTTACAAAATTGTGCACAAAAAATACAATACATATCATCGTCCATCCAGGGGGTTCTTAGCCCCAAGGATTGTCATACATATCATCTTCCATCCAAGGGGTTTTTAGCCCCAAGGGTTGTCATACATATCATCGTCCACCCAAGGGGCTCTTAGCCCCAAGGGGCGTCATACATATCATCATCCATCCAAAAGGCTCTTAGCCCCAAGGGGTGTCATATATATCACTGCCCTTCCAAGGCTTTTTGTTGTTACAGGGAAGCAAACAAACAAAATATATATTTACAGTTGTATTTTTCCATGAAAATTGTATTTCATAATCATTTTTTTGAAAATGTTTCCGTCACTCAAGGAGACCTAATAAGTTTCAGTGTATCATCTTTCCTGTCTCCATAGTAAACCATTTCCATTTGTGTTTAGTTGTTTACTCTATAGATTCCTTCACTTTATTTTCCTGTATCATGAAAAGTACTGCGTATTAGATTAGGAATCGGGGGATCTCTATGAATTGCTGTGAGTTTCAACTTGTGCTCTTTTGCAGATCACTCTGACTTGTAAAACAAAATTCTGCAAAAGGCAGGACAGGTTTATGTGGTGAATTCAATCTTGGATTAAAATCGTTTTCTTTGATAAACAGCCATTGGTGTACTTGACAAGAGTCACAGGACAACTTCGCCCGACTTTTATCTGATGTAATGTACTTATGTACTATTACTGCAGTGTTATGAATTGGGGAGGGGCTCCTTCGTTTTCCTGATGAGACTGTGATGCTTTTGTGGAGTTGACATTTTACATTTTAAGGGAAGATATGGACATCCACTGGTAGAGTAAGTCATTGAATGTCTCAAACTATGTGTTTTGTAATCAAAGTATTAGTAGAGCACTAGAGCCAAACTGTTCACTTTTTACAGATTAATTGTCCATAAGCCCTATATCATGTAGTTGCAGACCCTTAAGAGTGTATATAATGTCAATCACCTCTATGAATTATTTGGTTGGTTTATTTCTGTTAGGCATAATGCTGTTCATGGTTGTTGAGTTTCTAGAACCAAGTTTGATGAGTGTTAACTCTCACTTGTGTTTGTTGACTTGATAATATTTGGAAAGCAGTAAATTTATGCACTTAGTGCTCCTTAGTTTATTCCTAAGCAACAAATTGGGTCTCGCGAGGAAGTTATATAAGTTGAGGTTCCTAAATTTTTAGTATGTCAAGTCTAGAAATAGAAAAGGGGATAAGGAAAAACTTGGACAGAAACTAAATTATCCAATTAATTTACCCTTAGAAATCTGTTAACTGTACACATTTTAGGATACGGTCGTCTAATAGTATAAACTTTCATAGTTTATATACACTAGATTTCCTTTGCCAAGTAAAGTGTCCAGATTTTGAGGAGAGAACACTGCTTTGTTTCGTTATATTTTCTTCAGTATAAAATCTGAGTGATTCCAAACACAAGGTAGGCTATGATGAAGTTTCTCTTGCAGGTTTTACAGTTGAGAAAACTATAACACTTTTAGAAACTCTGAAACACAACTGAATGAATCAAATTTCTTTTCTCATTGGATTCTTCTATAACCGTTGAGATGGGTTAGTGGGATAAAGGATTTTTAAATATGGCCGCTGTTGCTGCTTAAGGGCCTGTTGTCATTGGTAAGACCCCGACCATAAAAGACTTGAACACTGACATTGCAAATCAGTGGAAGGTTAGTCATCCTCCTGTGTCTTTACTTCTCCATGATGCTCTCTCTCTCAGTTCCCCTCCTCAATCTGCTAAGGCTATTCCTCTTTGCTTACAGGGTACTTACAGTTGAAAGCATTGGCCGCTGATTTGCGCACACCCCAACTTGATAACTGCACACCCCTTTGGCCCACTATAAGGTAATTTCCTTTTTTCCTTCTAATTTGCACTAAGTCTCACGTGCCCAATGTTAATATTTTACTTTTTTTTTTTAATTTTATTTTTTTATTTCGACTTTTGTGGGTAAATTACCAACTCCCAAAATCATAAACTTGATTTTGCTTTTTACTCCATCCCCTTTTTACACTCCAGTACTCGCACCATTAATTTGATACCTCAAAAGCTTCTACCTTTTATGGAAATTCACCTTTTTAATATATCTTAATTGTAATTGCACTTTATTATAATTAAAGAAGAATGGATGGAGATTTGATTTTGAAGGGATTAATGATAATGAATTTTGGGAGCTTTTTGGGCTAGATGACTTGCCGAATGTACTAGAGGAGAATGGCCATTGAAGACTGCAATTCTTTCACATTCTCATATTAATGGTAATAATTTTCAATATTGATCTATTTTTTACAAGCATCTTTGTAATTGGGGTTGGATTTCACTCAATTATACAATAAAATTATTCTAGGGTTTTAAAGGAAAAATTTTCATAATTCTTGATAATGAGTCAAATTGATTCCAATATTGTTATACCTTAGTATTAAATCAGTTTATTTGCAAATTATATGTCTCAATTTCAGCTTTTTAAGGTTTGGTGATTAAAATAGTATAATAAGCTAGATTAGTTTAATTTTAACTTTGGTGTTAATCAAAACAAAAGAGTACAATTGCAAAACCAAAAGAACAAACTCGTATTATCGAACTCTCAGCCATAGGCTAAGTGTATATTTTTAATGGCTTTTTTGATTATTCAAAACATAATTTTGTGACTATTCTTGTTAATTTTTTTTTATTGTATAGGTTCACCAGAATTTGATAATCATCAACCTCCTCAAATGCCCACTGATATGTATCAACTTTCATCCCAAAAATTTTCAAATAGAGAAATATTGTTGGAGACTGTTCGAGGAATGGCCTACTCACTAGGCTTTGTTACAGTGATTCAAAAATCCAAAAAAAAAAAAACAGATGGGTTATTATTGGTTGTGATCATGGTGGATCATATCGAACTAATCGTAGTCGTATCCCTAATAGTGGAAAGAAAAAGTCAGGAACTCGATTAATGAATTGCCCATTTCAAATTTGTGGAAGAATGAACCAAGGCACTAGTTGGAGAGTCGAAATTAAATATCTTTCTCATAACCATAATTTATCAAGTGATATTTCGGGACATCCTTATACCCGGCGTTTCTCAAGGGAGGAAGTTAATGAGATTAAAGAGATGATTGCTGCCGACATTGCTCCACGGCAGATACTTACAAAACTTCGAAAAGGTAACTCTAATCTAAAAGCAATATCTAGAACACTTTATAATGTGAAGGCTAAAATTATTAAAGATGGGCTAGGAGGCCGTTCAATGATCCAAGCTTTGATGGATGAACTTGGTAAAGGTGGTTTTACGTATGATGTTGAGTGTGATAATGAAGGACATGTGACACATTTGTTGTTTTCTCATCCAAGTTCGATTGAATTAGCAAGAATTTACTCATATACTTTTGTGATGGACTGCACTTATAAGATTAACAAGTATAAAATGCCTTTACTTGATATTGTTGGAGTTACTAGTTTTAATACATCATTCTTTTGCGGTTTTGCCTTCTTATTTAAAGAGGAGGAAAGTGATTATGTGTGGGCACTACAAAAATTTGGTAAGATTTTGGGTTATGATAAACAACCATCGGTGATTGTGACTGATCGAGAATTGGCTTTGATGAATGCAATTAAAGTTGTTTTCCCTAATACTTGTAATTTGTTGTGTGTATGGCACATTGAAAAAAAATTTTAGCAAAGTGCAAGCCTTTTTTTGATGATGGTGATGAATGGGATGTGTTTATGTCCGATTGGACAAATTTGATTGATTCTTCAACTGAAGATCAATTTAATGAAGCTTGGTCTGAAATTGAAGTGAAGTATGGGAAGTACAGGGATATTCTCATTTACATTCATAATACTTGGTTTCCATGGAAAAAATATTTTTTTAGAGCATGGTCAAGTGAATATATGCATTTTGGACATGTTAGTTCTAGAGCTGAAGGTTCACATGCTACTTTGAAGAAATACCTTGAAGTTTCGAGTGGTGACCTTCGCACAGTGAAGGAAAAAATTTGTCATGCTGTTGATCATCAATATAATGAGATTAAAACACAATTGTCAAGTGAGAAGATACGCATTCCTCATGACTTGCGTATCCCCTTCTTAAGTAAGCTCATAGGTCATGTTTCTCATTTTGCATTAAGAAAACTCCTTAACCAATTTGAGCTAGCTTATTCCGATTCTCTGTCTCCTACTTGTATTGGTCAGTTTTCAAAAACTATGGGTCTCCCTTGTGCTCACGTGATGAGAAGGATGACAAATGAGGATTTAAAGCTTGACACCATTCATTACCAGTGGAGAATGGACAACATATCACTTTCAAAGAACGGAGAGAATCAAGATGTTCATGGAGATCGGATTGATGTGCTTGTACAAGAGTTACAACTCAAATATCAGCAATTGCCTCTTACTCAAAAAGAAGGTATTCGAAAACAAATTTCTCAATTTGTTAGTCCTTCAAGTCCTTTGGTTCTTGAACCCATGATTCGTCAATCTAAAACTCTTGGAACTAATTCAAGAAAAAAGAAAAAACAAAGTTCTTCTACAAAGAAGGATCCTTCAGGTTTTGAGATGGTCGAAAAGGTCAGAAGGTGCAACATGTGTGGCAACATGAATCATGATCGTAGAAGATGTCCTAAAAATACTACTCAAAATTCTTCAATGTCCTTCATGCCTCCAATTTTTGAATGGCTTGCCTAGTCCATCCACCTCTTTTTGTTGTTGATTTGAACCTTTTGCCTCCAAACTCAGATTATAATAACCCATCGTAAGGTAATTTTTTTTTTTTTTTTGATAAGTTGTGTTTATATTGTCATGATATTGTATTTATTATATAAAAGATATTATATTAACATGTTTAATTAATATTATGAAGGTCGAGAATATTTGATATTATGTGATGTCCACGATATAAAGTGCAAAGAACACTAATTAAGGTAATTTTGTTTTTTTTTCGTAGTTTGGTTATCTTTTATGTTTAATTGTCTAAACTAATTATTATATGTTATTGTAGTTTTGTCGTAATGGATGCAGGTTTTGTCATTGGAGTAGTTAATTTACTAGCACAAGATCTTTGGATTAGCTTTGGTTGATAAATCGTATTTATGTAATTTTTTTGAGACAATATTTGTTGATTTAACTTTTACCCAACTTTTGTATTTTTTTATAAACTTAATTTGAGATAATCATAGCTATTAATTTAAGATGTTTAATAGTATATAATATCAAATTGATTATAACGTTAAAATTTTTTGAAAGAAAAAAATTGTCATTTTATATTTATGTAAAAAAAATAAAAAAATAAAAAAAATAAAAAATAAAAAAAAAAAATTCAAACTTGACTCAAGGTTGAAAACTACTGCCGTTGTACAAGAAATACTTAATACTAAAAAAAATGGAGTATTAATGATAGAAGAAAAATAATGCATAAAGTAAAAAAAGGTCAAATATCAATTTGCTTTC